AGGGGACATCTTACTTCTTCCTTCTCTCTGTCTATACCTGTGTACTCTCATGTTCTGAATAACCCAGCTTCCCCAAATGTCTTTCTTTTTGGTGTCTATATACGCCGGGATCCGGAGTCATGGATGATCCTGTTGCTGCGGTCCTGTCTCCTGGATCGCGAGCCCTGGATCTTGAGTCGTGGCTGTGGTCCTGGTCCTGGATCATAAGTCCTGGATGGATATCCTCGTGGATTAATCTTCCTATTATACACACATGCATTTCCAAACATTTGGACTACCTATGTTGCAAATGTATTATCTTTTCAATTTACACACGGCATCTATTGCACGTCTGTCCGTCCTGGGAGAGGGATCCCTCCTCTGTTTCTCTCCCTGAGGTTTCTCCCATGTTCCCCTTTAAACTGTGGGTTTTCTCCGGAAGTTTTTCCTTGTAAGATGTGAGGGTCTAAGGACAGAGGGTGTCGTATTGTCATACTGATATTCTGTACAAGCTGTGAAGTCCACTGAGACAAATGTAACATTTGTGATATTGGGCTATATAAATAAACATTGATTGATTGATTGACCCCGTGCATAGTGTGTGTGGACTATAGTGTGGAGGGCTTCCCCCCTCCTGCCTCCAGGCAGGGGAGGAGAGTCCTTCCGCCCCGTAATGGGCCAGTGCGCACCACGCCCATCCCGGGTCCCCTGAAGGGTCCCGGGAAAAACGAAGGCGCATTACGTCCGGGGAGGAGGTCAGATGCCCACTGACCCACAACCTCCCCCCCTCCTCACCAGTCCTGTGTTGCCCCAGGAAGCACAGACGAGGAGAAAGAGCCAGACATGTCCAAGAGACAAAACGTTATGAAGGGGCCCCGTGCTATGTCCTCTACACTCACACCGTTGAATAAGGCTGTTGACACAGCCACAGCATGTATAGAGTGTGCACGGACCCCCGTGGGGCAGGCTCTCCCTACCTGTCCATAGGCATGTGCAATTCACTCGCTTTGTGGAAAAGGTTAAATGTATGTTGGACACAAGCCCATATGTAGGTGCTGTCTTCCTTGTTCTCAGGAAGGCTTTTGACACTGTTGACCACCAAGTGCTCCTTACAAAGCTGAAGTATTTCCATTTGTCGGCAGATTCAATACAGTGGGTTAAGTCTTACTTATCGAACAGAAAACAGTGTGTTTTGGTCAACGGAGCCAAATCCCCCTACCTTGTGAACCCTGTTGGGGTTCCACAAGGTTCCATTCTTGGACCATTACTGTTTTCACTGTACATTAATGACTTGCCTAATGTCCTGAGTTGAATGTGCAAATGTATGCCGATGATGCGGTCATCTTTGTACATGGGAAAAACACAGAAATTATCTCATCCTGTCTCTCAAATGCTTTGGACAAGGTTCAACACTGGCTGAACAACATTTGCTTACAGTTAAATAAAAAAAAACAGTATGCATGATGTTCAGTAAACGACCAGTCAAAATCGAAGGATCCAATGTGTTTTTAAACGGAGCAGAAATAGAACTAGTCTCCCACTTCAAGTATCTTGGAGTCATAATGGATTCGAACTTGACTTTTAAGAAACATATTAAGAAAGTATCCAATACTATTAAATTCAACTTGCAAAATGTTAAACAAATCAGACCTTTCTTAACTGTCAATGCTGCAAAGTCATACCTCCACAGTATGATTCTATCCCACATTGAATACTGTTTGACAAACCGGTCGTGTGCTTGTGCCACAAACCTGAAACCCATAGAACAGCTGTACAAGAGACCTATCAAGGTGTTTGACAGAAAGCCTTATTCATACCACCACTGTACCATCCTTGAAAAACACAATGTATTGAGTTTTGACAATTTTAAGTCTTTTAAAACTAACTTTTTTTTATAAATGTTTACATGAACTGAAAAAATGACCATATATACAAAAATGAAAGACATTCAGACAAAGGCATTTAAAAACAGTAAAAGATAATAAAATAAACATTAAAAGAAAAAATACATGAATAAAAAGTACATGAATACAAGGTAAACTTTTACAGTCATCATGTCAACCACATCACAGAGAAATACTGATAGAAATGTGTGTGTAGTTGTTGATACATTGCTGACAGAGGGAACTACATTTGAATACAGATTTAAGAAATATCATTTTTTGAGCATGTCATAAGCATGTTTTGTCTTGACTATATTACAACTATATTATAATAAAATAATATAGTATTTAAATTATTGAATTGATTATGATTATTAGTAGAAGTAGTTTATTTGCATTCATTATATTTTAATCTTTTTGAGGCTAGTATTTGGCAGGAAATGCAGACGTATTCACCTGTAAACGCATACTGAACGACATACATGCACATTTACCTCACTGTATAAACAAGTAACTGTGTTGATAATAATAATAAACAGGAATTATATTTGCAAAGTAGCCTACTTTGTTTCCAAAAACAACTGTCGGTTGGGGGGGGGGCTCATCTCACAATGTTGCTTGGGGCCCCAAGTTGGCCAGGGGCGGCCCTGGGTGTATACCCATGGAATCTGTGGAATCTCAGCTTTCAGAAGATGTGTTGTTTGTGCAGAAAGTATGAATTATAAATGATCGTTTTTGTGAGTTATGAGCAGAAATAGCAATTGCCTGTTTTTGCCATGGGCTCATTTAGAGGCTTCTTGTGAGACTTCTTTCTCGAAAAACTTTTTTTTTTTCGTATCGTCAGTTAGCCAAGTTTCCTCCGGTCAGATGGGTATGGAATATTAATAGTTTCATGAATGACACTTTAGATATAGCACTGTTGCTACATATATAGCATTTTCGGACCTGAGCTCGGGTCCGTGGGGCTTAAGAGGCTAAGCCACGTTTACACAGAAACTAAACGGGTACGGCTACAGTTCTCTATCATATGGACGGTTCGTCCCCACGAGGCCGTAACGGAACCGCGGAAACGGAGCCCTCAAACGATAACGCCTCCCAAGGTGGGTAGATCTGCAGACTAAACACGCTGAGGGGCCTAGCGGCTCCGCGTGTACATCCTATACGATCATTTCCTGATAACGATGAAGCCATAGCCCCGCCTCACCCCACCTCTGCTGCTCACCCGCGCGTCACCCACGCCATTGCTGATGTGTTTCGCCAACAACAACAACAATGGCGGATCACAGGGTTGCTTTCATGCTCCAGGGGGGTATACTACGAAGCAGGATTTTCGCTTAGCCGGCTAAATTCAGGGAAAACTCCGGCTTTCCGGTCCTACGAAGCTGGTTCTCTTTTTAGCAGGCTAGATCTCCATGGTAACTTATGCTTAGCGGCTAACCTGGTCGGGACCAGGTTAGGTTGCAGGCTAAGAGCTCAACTCAGTGAAAGCACTGCCTGCTGACCAATCAGAGCTCAGTGTGCGGAGTTTAAAGCGATCAAGTCATATTACAGGAGAAAGGAAATACAGAAAAGCTGCCGTCGCAGGAAAGACGGCCGGCAAAAATCACCGACTGTGTGAACGTGAACATTAATAGAATATCACCTCCCATCTTCAGAGCAATCTGACTATTATAACATTAGCGTTAAGAACACTTACCACATATCTACCACAACATAAGTAACCGGATCAGAGTAACATTAAGTACAGTCCGCGGCATATCACTTAATGTAGCCTATCATATATTTTCTTATCTGAGTCAGCTGAGCCGTATCTAGCCGTGCAACACTCACAGTGTCACATGGGCCTACTGTATGCAGAAGTATTATTTTAAGCAACACATTAAGTTGACGAAACACTCGAGACAAATGTAATTAAAGTCAAATCGTGTTTTAGACGGGGCAGTGATATCATAAACCTGTTAATGTACGCATTCAAACACTTTTTCTTTTGCCAGCTGTATTCACCTTGCAGGTGCAACTATGTGGCTTTTATCCTGGATAAAGTGTTTAAGTCATGGATGTTTAAAGTTTAACTTCTTCATTTTTGACTAGTATTACAGTTCACTTTTCATTCAGGAAGTATGACGCTGCGCTGTCAGTACGCTTCTCCATGTTTGTGATTGGTCGAATGCTCCAAATACCACCCCTCTCATGTGAACGCGCACCTAACTAGATAGGAAACGGCTGGCTTGAGCGATCCACTTGATAACCAGTGTCGTAGTACAGTTTAGCGAGAGCGCGTATGTTTTGGATTAGGCCAACCGGCTAACTCAAACATATCCAGGTTAGGTTGAACCAGCTTCGTAGTATAGGCCCCAGATGCTACTGACCATGCTACAGATGTTATTGCAAATTCTACTGCTCCTCTACCACAACCATCAGCAACAAGTGGACATGGAGAACTACATGAACTACATGTTGCTAAATCCACCGCGGAGAATAAACAGAAGGGCAACCACGGCAACCATGCTCGGGTGGTCTTCTTCGCTGCTTTTGGTGTATTTTGTGGTGGAAGTACAGCGCCACTTACAGGCCCGGCAAATGTACAACAGCGTCTCCAGCGGGTCGAGGGTCTCGTCTGGACGGACAAGTTTCTTGAGCCGATACCGTGTGGACGGAAGACTTTTGTTGATATCGACTAAGGTTTGTTTTCGTCTCCGTGTAAACGTAGCCTGAGTGTGTTGATTGTTGACTGCTCGGTTGGTTGACTGGCTCTGTTGTCATTGTGTCACCATGGAATTACTCTTTCTCTATAATATTATTTTTCTGGGATTAGGAAAACACAAACACACACTCATAGTGTTTATTAGCCTTAACTCACAGAAACCACCACAGGCAGATCAGCTGATGATGTCATGCATTGCTCTGATTGGTTGGCCCTGACTTCCTACTCCCCCTCCCTCTCCCTCTCTTCATCACCCTGCCTTCTTCTCTCAGTCATCCGCCTCTATTCAACAACACCATCTCTCTCTCTCTCTCTCTCTCTCTCTCTCTCTCTCTCTCTCTCTCTCTCTCTCTCTCTCTCTCTCTCTCTCTCTCTCTCTCTCTCTCTCTCTCTCTCTCTCTCGCCTCCTCTTTCTGTCCCTCTCCTTTCCGTTACACTCTGCTCCTGCCAGGAAGATGATGCTGATGCTGATGATGTGACATTGTGACCAGCCAATGCCGATAGCAGGAGAGTGGGGAAGGGGTGTGTTCAGAGGCTGAGCTTGTGTGTGATCGATGCTGCTGAGGAGACCGCAGAAGAAGAAGGAGAAGAGAGAGAGGTAGAGGAGGGTGGGGGAGGCCTTGTCCGAGCTAAGGAGCGCCAGCACTGGCTTATTAAAAGAGAAGAGGAGGAAGAGGAGGAGGGAGGGAGAAAGCTGTCGGATGTTAGAGGGGGATCAACCTGTGCTGTCATGGACAAATATCGACCAAAGAGACCCACCACCCTGGCTCTGTTCCCACAACGGCCACAAGCCGGCACCCAGGTAGGAGTCTGGGAGGATCCCTGCTCTGAGACGGCTACAGTGTGTGTTCATGTGTGTGTGTGTGTGTGTGTGTGATCAGGCAACTGTGGCATCAAGTGAAAATGAGTTACTGTGTGTGTATAAGGATAACATTGTATCAGTGTGTGTGTGTGTGTTTGTGGCAGTGGGTCAGTTTCTGAAAATGGATGAACTCTAGCTGTACATTTCCTCAGTTAAAAGGCTCCTGCATTGTGTATTGGCGGCAGTATTCCTGGGAGAAACACATCATGTTTGTGTATCCCCCAGTAGGTGGGCAGCTGGGAGTTCATTGGCTTGCTCAAGGACACGTCGACTGACTGGCTGTGTGTGGATTGACCCTCATTGCGCTATTAAATAGGAGCCTTCAAGCTGTTCTGCCATCTTGTGAAATACACATGTGTAAGGATGGCTCAGTTGTTACAGAGAAACAGAAGAAGAGGATAATGCAAAGCCAAGTCAAAAAAGGTCTATAAAACAAGTCTGGATGATAGTGAGGTTCCTGGCTCAGTGAGGATGGTCTCTGGAGGGGGCCAGCAAGACTGAGTGGCTCTCACTCCGCAGTATATGCCTGTGTATTCCTTTAAATTAGCTGCATCCTGTTTACTGTGAGCAGATCAGAGCAGTCTCTTACCCTAACCTGGGTTTCCATTCAGCATCAACATCCAAATCTCAATATAGGGAGGTGCTTATGTCCGTTGCAACATCAAATAAAATCAGTGTTGTTGTCTCAATACTTAGACAACAGAAATATGGTGTTGATTTGGGCAGATATTAAACAAACTATACTGATAAATATAGACATGTTGCATGTAGAATGAAAATGCACAACTTACTGTTGAGAATTGTAAGTTTTGTTCTCATAGCTAAATACTGGATAATATTGCCGATGGCCAGACACATTTGCATTTATAGAATCTTAAAGAGAGAACAGAAATGTGTTCAAAATGTCTCATCTGCTCTGTGTTGACATTAATAGCTGATGATCTTCATTCTCATACACCTATAAATGCATAAAGTACAAGCTTGTTATGTGTATTTCTTATTAAACAATTTAATTGGATGATTGACAGTTTAATGTTATTTAATATGTTTCATCATAAAACAGGAAATATTGAAACATGACAACAATAATCAAACCCATCCACGGACTGTTGCTCCTAATAATCTTCTCAGTGAGCAGTCAGGTGTAGAGCAGGCTCAAGGAGCTTTTTTGTTTTGCTCTTTCAGAGTTAGTGGGTTAAAGAGCTAAAAGAGGGCACTTTTAATAATAATAATAAATAAACATTTATTTTTTACAAATAGCAATACATCGGCATCTGTAACTTTTATATATATATATATCAGTGGTGGGCCGTCAGGACCAGCAAGGCCTTCTCTGGCCTAAACACTATCAGAATCCCTGACTAACCTCATATCGTTTTTACATTAACATGTATGAATGATTTCTAATAGTCTGTTGTCTTCAGTTCATAGCTTTTCTCTGTGTTGCTCTCGGTTGCGCTGCATCCAGTAATGGTTGTTAATGTTGGAGATTTTATCCAATCATATTTCAGTCAGAATGTGTTGCTGGGTCAAAGAGATGTTTCCTGAGGCCTTCAGAATCAACAGTGAAGGTCTTGTAGCTTTACAAAAATGGCAATGAAACTGTTACAATGACCAATCAGATTTGGAGTGGCGTACGATGACGTCTGCATTTTCACGTCCTCTGATTGGATTGTCAGAGCTAGTGTATAGTGTATAGCATGTGTAGCAACCGGTAGTGACCTGCTAGAAAATGGCGTCTGTAGCGTCCTTAGCAACCTATACAATCTAAATCGTTTTTCTGTAAACATTAAGACCCACAATGGCTGACAGCGGAGGAGAAATTGATTTGGTGAAGCTAGCAAGTCTGTCGCAGCCCAGACTTGGAGTACTTGAGGCCTGGACTCGGACTCAAGTGCCAATTTTCAGGACTAGTGACTCCATATAAGGAAATGAAACAACCACTTTATAAAAGTTGACTTTGATCCCCAAGAATTAATAATATTATATATTTATGGCCCATCCCTAATAAAATAAAAGTCATCCAGTAGAGTGAGGGTTTAGTTATGTCAGTGGAATGTTAATGTCTTTTCAGTTTCTATGAATTTTGCAACCACTAAATAAAACGTTTTTATTTGTAAAGCAGCTCTTTGAAGGCAGTCTTGGAACTCGACCCAACCTGGATGATAATAATAATATTAATATTGATAATAAGCCTTTATTTGTATAGCACCTTTCATACAAGAATTGCTGACCAAAGTGCTTCACAGCAGTTATATAGACAGAATAAAAGCAATGCAGAAAACAAAAGGATAAAAGCAATGTAAACAATAACAAATATTGATTGATAATAACCAAACCAACAGCTACATTTAAACAAATATATCCACTCAGATGACTCAGACTTGTGAATCGGACTCAGACACGAACAGAGGCAATGATGACTTGACTCAGACTTGGACTCGGACACGAGCACAGGTAATCATGACCCAGACTCGGACTCGACTCAGACTCTTCTTGGGTGACTCGGACTCGGACTTTATTTATTTTATTTTAATCGTTTATTTGTCAGGGACAATGCACAGTGATGAACACTTAAAACGTAAAAAAAATTGTCAAGCGTAACAGTGCCAGATTTAGCTTTGAGCTAATTTCCATCCGCACATAAAACATTTAAGAAAAGGACATTTTACAAACATAGCAAAAACAAATACATGATATGCAAAAAGTGCAAAAGAGCAAGAGCAGCATACACAAGTATTTACCACATGGCAGTACAATGTAGCAGCAACGACATATAAGGTGCAAGAAAAGATAAAAGAGCTACCTAAAGTGCAGGAGGAAATACCCCTGTGTTAAAGTGCATTTAGCGGTGATTGCACGTCTGTTTGTTGCTCAACCATTCTTTGAGTTGACCTTTTAAAACTGTTCAAAGTGGGACAATCCCGTATCTCAGTTGGGAGGCTATTCCACAATGAGCTGCCTTTAACGGAGAGGACATTTTGTCCAAAAGTGGTCCGTCTGCGATGGACTTCACAGTCTCCTCTGGTTTCTGACCTAGTGCAGCGTCCAGTGTGTTTTCTGTGGATGAATTCCCCTAAGGGAGGGGGGGGGGGGCAGTCCATGTAAACATTTATAAATAAAACACATACTTTTAAAAGACTTAAAATGGTCAAAACTCAATAAATTGTGTTTATCAAGGATGGTACAGTGGTGGTATGAATAAGGCTTTCTGTCAAACACCTTGATAGCTCTCTTGTACAGCTGTTCTATGGGTTTCAGGTTTGTGGCACAAGCAAACGACCAGTTTGTCAAACAGTATTCAATGTGGGATAGAATCATACAGTGGAGGTATGACTTTGCAGCATTGACAGTTAAAGGAGACCTATCATCCAAAATGCACTTTTGTACGTCTTTTATACATGAATATGTGTCCCCGGTGTTCCAGGGAACTCACCAAGTGTCAGAAAACACAACCCTCTCTCTTTTCCTCCATACCCAAATCTCTAAAAAAGGGGCTGCAACGGATCTGATACAGACTGATCCAGATTTGAACACTTTACTGACGTCAGGACGGTGGCGCTACGGCTATTGGTCAATTGTCCACCTATCAGGGGAATGAGAGGTTGGGCCACGGCCGGCCATTGTCGCTCGAAAGCGCTGGAGACGCTGTAGTACATATGCCAGGCCTGTAAGTGGCGCTGTAGTCTGCCACAAAAGCAGCAAAGAAGACTTCCCTTGCATGGTTGCCATGGTTGCCCTTCTGTATATTCTCCTCTGTGGCTCTTTTTCTCCCTTTCAAACCTTGGAAAGTATCTAGATATTCCTGTCCTAATGCCAAAGTAACTGCCAACTCCCCTCTCCTGCAGGGGGGCGTAGTCAGCTGCAGCCCCCTGCAAAAACAGGGCTGGAAAGAGCAAATAGAGCGAAATGAGGCATGGCTAAAATGCAGGATCCGTTTGGTATTTTGAAAAAAGAACTATATTTATATACTTTATATAGGTATGGCCCTACAATATATGTTTCAAATATAGCATGAAAGGTCCACTTTAAGAAAGGTCTCAGTTGTTTAAAATGTTGCAAGTTGAATTTAACGGTATTGGATACTTTCTTAATATGTTTCTTAAAAGTCAAGTTCGAGTCCATTATAACTCCAAGATACTTGAAGTGCGGAACTAGTTCTATTTCTGCTCTGTTTAAAAACACGTTGGATCCTTCGATTTTGACTGGTCGTTTACTGAACATCATGCATACTGTTTTTTTTGCATTTAACTGTAAGCAAATGTTGTTCAGCCAGTGTTGAACCTTGTCCAAAGCATTTGAGAGACAGGTTGAGATGATTTCAGTGTTTTCCCCCTGTACAAAGATGACCGCATCATCGGCATACATTTGCACATTCAACTCAGGACATACATTAGGCAAGTCATTAATGTACAGTGAAAACAATAATGGTCCAAGAATGGAACCTTGTGGAACCCCAACAGGGTTCACAAGGTAGGGGGATTTGGCACCGTTCGATAAGTAAGATTTAACCCAATGTATAGAAACTGCAGAAAAATTGAAATGCGTCAGCTTTTTAAGGAGCACTTGGTGGTCAACAGTGTCAAAAGCCTTCCTGAGATCAAGGAAGACAGCACCTACATATGGGCTTGTGTCCAACATACATTTAACCTTTTCCACAAAGGCACAGTTAGCTGTCTCAGTGGAGTGGTGAGCACGAAAACCAAACTGCATTGGGCGGAGTGGAGCGAAACCTTTGTCTAAATGTTTGGTGATTAGTTTTGACACCCATTTCTCAGCTACCTTAGAGACACAGGGGAGGATGCTGATTGTTCTATAATTGAACATCATTGCCTTATCCCCAGATTTAAAGATCGGTGTCACCGTGGCCACCTTCCAGGATGTTGGAACTTCCCTCGTGCTGATAGATTGATTCACTAGCATAGTTATTGGTTTTATTA